CAACCAGTGCCAGTGGTAACTTATGGATCTGAGACGTGGTTTTTCACTGTTGCTCGTATGAGGGCGGTCGCTCAGCGAGCTATGGAGGCCTACGCTCGGGGTTTCTCTGCGTGATAGAATTTAAAACGAGGCTATGCGCAATAGATTTTATGCGTGGTGGAACCATGCTGCATTTATATTATTAGTATAGTTGTAGCACGAATGGGTCGGCTCGACCGGGGAAGGACCTCGCTCTCACAGAATGCCAGCGTAAAATAGTAGCTCAATGCTGCTGTGTTTTGTATAGTTAGTGCATATATATAGGAGGCCCTCATTTTTCGTAATCGAGGATAGATGTAGATGTCTATGGGCTACAGCAACCACTCACCATCAGGTGGATTGTGTGCTCATTTGTCATCCTATCCTGTAAAAAAAAGAACCAGAGTAAGTGACATAGTCCAACGGATTAGTAAGCTGAAGTGGCAATGGGCTGGCCATATAGTTCAAACGGCAAATGTAGAGCGTCCACCCACAAGATGGAGTGATGAGCTGGTAAGACATGCAGAAAGTCGATGGATGCAGGTGGCTCAGGACCGTGCTTTGTGGGAGGCCTATGTTCAGCAGTGAACTTGAGAAGGGCTGCCTTGAATGAATGAATTATGAATAGGTATGTTTTTAACGTGTTTTCCCTGTTTCCTTTCACACTCCAGTGCTTAAAGAAGTATGTTGTGAGAATTTGCATTTATTTTTTATTTGTATTCATTTGTAATCATTTTACGTGGTAAAGCCATGCTTCAGCTATATCATAGTTGTAACATGAATGGGTTGGCTCGACCGGGGCAGGATCACACTCTCACAGAATACGTAGTTTCGTATGGTGAGTGTAGAGAGCTGGAGACCCTTTTTACAGGAATCAAGGCATTCCATTTTAGTCCTCAGGGGTAACAACGCATATGCATTTTGCTTCTTAATTGTCTTAACCCTTAACTGGTATCGTAAATTTGACATACGTAACGTAACCCATAGTATGTTTGCTTCTAGCAAGTAAGTTTTAACTATGTACTTGAATAAATGATCAGAAATAATAAATAATAGGCTTGTTTTATGTAATCAAATAGTTTTTATTAATATAAACCTTCTTATTTCCATACTAGAAGAGATCACAAAATAGTATCAACATTTTGGTATATTTTTTTCTACGTTACAAATATTAATGAAAATTATAGTTTTAAAAGTTAAAATCAAAAATTACATTATTTTCCTTAATCTATAATACGTAAACTAAAAAAAATAACGTTTTATAATCTATAATCAAAATTTCACAAAAATCAACATGAAATAAATCACTTTTAATCTTAAGGCTCAAAAACACTAATATGAAACTTTGGTTCAGTCTAGACAATCATCACATAGTGTTTTTGTGCTACCATGGACTTTGCAAATGAATTGTGAACAATTATGGCACTTTGTAGCAAATTTCCCATCTTTTTTTTATCACATAAGTGACAGCGTCCCCTTTTCAAGGCGTTTTGGCTTGGAGTAGCAACACTAGACGTCGAGGGTAATGGTGCCATGTTAGCTGCTAAGAAATTATCAATTTTATCACGCAAATCACTTCCTACTTCTTTGATGAGTTCTATACCAACAGATTTTATGTAGTCCTTTCGCTTCATCTTTTTCTCAGTATTTGAACCTTTCCACAACACATAACCGTTTACACAAGCAATATTTAGAATACCAACAAATACTACACTTGGCCAACGTCGTGTTCTGCGAGCTACTAAGTAATTAGCGCATTTTTGATCTAAAGAATCCACTCCACCTTTGGTGGAGTTGTAAAACACAATAATCTCCGGTTTCTTTGTACGTTCATTAACACTTTTGTTATTCTAGCTGTAATATATACATATATAATAACATAGTGTTATTCTAGCTGTAAATCCAAAAAGAGAAGTCTTTTTCTCTATGCTTATGTGCTTGGAATTCAGTTGGGATTTCACATTTATTTTTTCTCAAAGTCCTGACGTAGGTCAATTTTTTTTCGAGTAATGCATCAACTAACTCCACCGAGGAAAACCAGTTATCTGATGTTATGTTTCTGTTTGATTCAAAAAGCGGGGAAGTCAATTCTAGTACGGATTGTGTAGGAATAGATGGTTAACCTCTGATGCGTTCCTGCTGTTTGCCGGTATATATAAAAGTGTTATATAAATAGTGAGTCTTAGCATCACACAAACATAATATTTTGATACCGTATTTAGCAGGCTTTGATTTCATGCACACCCTGAAAAGACATCGGCCTCGAAATGGACATAACATTTCGTCAATAGTAATATATTCTGAACAACTGTAACTTTTCTGACAGTTTTCTAAGAACTTATCAAATATTTCAGAAATGAGCGCTGCGCGGTTTACAGCTTTTCGCTCCTCTCTCGATGCAATATCATCAAACCGAATATTTGACAAAAAAAAATCTCTTCACATGCACGACCTATTCCGTCTGTAGCCCACAATGATTCTACGTCTTCATGTCCTAATTTGAACACTCCTGTCAACAGTAAAAGACCTATAAAAGCTTTCATCTCTGTTACTGACACGTGGTTCATTAAAAATCCGTAGTAGTCTTTTTCGAATTCTCAGTAATCTTCTCGTTTGTATAGTTGTTTATAATTTGTGTAATCATCAACTAGCAATTCAAACGATTCTTTGATACTAATATAACTTTTAGATGCAGCTGGACCAATCAAACCAGGTCTTTGAGCTATAATATTGTGTCGACGAGTACGTGAAGGTGCTGGTGGGTTTTTAGATCGCTTGTATTTATTTTTCCCATAGTAGATGCTGGACTGACGAGGCCCTGCAACATTTTCCTTTTTGAATTCCTGAAGACGCTTCCGTATCAGAATCCACGTCTTGATTATCGTTCAACAAATCAAGTGATACTGTATCTTCACAATTACTTATTACTTCACTATCACTACAACATTCTTCTTCAGGCCTGCTACCAATCACTCGGAATCAGAATCTTCGTGTAAGAGTTCTTTTATTATTTAATCACTCAAAGGCCGCGACATTTTGAATTAATAACTGTAAAAAATAACAAACATATAAAAATTGCTATGCAAAAAAACTTACGTAACTGGTATCGTGGGGGCCGCGCGGACCCCAACACATGCATACCTGGGTCCCAGTAAGTGACACAGCGCCGAACGTTCGGTACCCGCCGCGAATAGCGACGTAATGAGAATACAGAATACTTAAAATGGCGGCTGCTCACGATGCTTAGTTTATTAGAACATCAAGAAAACTTCATGCGTGGGGGCCGCGCGGCCCCCACGATACCAGTTAAGGGTTAAAGTTGTCTATGGGCCTTAGCATCAACTTATCATCAGGTGAACTGTGTGCTCATTTATGACCCAATGCTATAAAAAAAATCACTTTTGGTAGTAAATGTAACTTTCACTTGTCTCCAAACCTTGGGGATAAGTCAGTGCGCCATGCATGCTTTTATTATAGCGATTAACCTAATTACTAATAGATTTTCTTGTCCATTGAAGTAGAGTAGGGAAGATACCGGCAACATCTTTCTTCTTAAAGGGGTGCAAGCTCTATGTGGCTCATCAGAGTTCATCTTTTATGACAACTTGCTCCAACCAACTGTCTTTAGTTGGTATAGTTGCTCATCATTCCAGCTTACTCCAACAGTTAGTTTGTATTCTGCAAAGTGTTTCTCTATGTACAAGTTGTGTCTGAAGTGAAGCATAAGCCTGCTTTATTACGATTATCTGTACCTGAAAGTGTTATGAAATAAAAAATGATTTGTATAAAATCTGTTATGTTTTAATAAAAGTTATCACATTGTTTCTCACACCCAACCTCAGCCAGCTTAAACATAAAATAATAATGTATCAAATAAATATTACAACAAAAACATGCACCAAATGGTAGGTTTTGTTTATTTAAAAATACAACTAAAAAAGGCTTCTTTAAAAAAATATTACATTACCATTAGCTAATACATTAAACAATGTCTGAATTATAGTACTCATGTAACATTTTAATCATTCAAATTGAAAAATGTAAACAATTTATTCATATCAGCTATTTAACATAAAATATCATACAAACCACACATTAGCATATTTAATATCAACAAATGATAATAATGATTTCATGTTTAGGTGAATACTATACATTTAAATAAAACTAGTTTTTATGGATTATATCACATATACTAACTTATTTTATATTCCCGATGTTTTGAGCACTATACAGTACCCATGGGCACAGGAGGAACAGAGGTGTTGGGCATCCCAATGTAGTATGTATATGTATCCCAATATAGTTAACTATGACTACCTTCAGATTAAAATCACTAATGTTTGTTCCGATCAATAGAGTATGAACTTAAAATATCTTGCAGTTATATGCTTCAGTTAGAAGTCTGCAGTCTGTGAACATGTACAGGGTTGCCCCTGTCACTACCAGATCTGATAGATCACAAATCCTTGATAAAGTACACTGATTCCTTCCAAGGATGATTAAAGAAGCTATTGAAATCAGAAAAACATCCTAATTTCATTAGAGAAGATGGCTGGGTGCTACCATCTGCTTGGCACCCCATTATTAAACACTCCACTTTTTTTTTAAACAATATTAGATACAAGCGAGATCAAATAAAACTAAGAGCTTTTCAATAATTGAGTGGGAGGTTGCAAAGTAACTATTAATATCTTTAAGAGCTTTTTGGTATTTCTTTTGAAAGTTGGTACTTTCAACATTTCTTCTTTAATTTTGGGAACAACAATTTTTATAATTTATGTTACTACAAAAAAATAAATTACGAGAATAAAACATTTAAAAATATACACTAATTAAGACTGCTAGAACAATATGCAGCACAACATATTATACAACTCATCAGAGTATTATGTTCATCCCCCAAACATGACATACAAAATAATAAGTATAATTTCATAAAGATCTAATATACTGTTTAATTTATTTATCAGTCTGTTAAATTAATCAAAGTCTCTACTGTTATAATGGTTATATAATGGTGGTTGATCATTATATGTCAAAGTTCTTTTATTTATCCTTACAGGGGTATTTGGTTTAAAGAACATAGCTAAAAGTATATAAAAGCCACCAATAATTTTGCTAAAGAAGTCCAAAACACCTAAAAACATAGGAGTTGAATTTTTTATCAATACTGACATTTCCCGAATTAAAGCTAATATGAAATTACCCAGAAAATTTACAAAAGCTGTGCTACCGGTAAAAACAGCAATAACAAATGCAAACAAGAATGTTACAAACTCTTTTAGATTTTTTATTGATATTGCACTTTTTAAATTGTGTACTATATCATCATATGATTCTTTTAATGATTCTAAACTATTATCAAATTTAGTTTCTGTATTTTCAACACTATTTTTTATTGCACCTGTTAGTATAGGTTCTAGTTCTAGAAAAGAATCCGAAATATGCCTTATACATTTCAATGTCAACATAACTTCATCAGCTCTGAACTTGATACTTTTAATTTGAAACCAAAATGCTCCAAATGGTTGATTATCAATCTCTGTCCATATACAGACTCCAGTATTGTATCCAAGAAATTCTGAACTTGTAATACCAATCCAGTGCTGATCGGTACAAACATTTCGTAGTTTTGTTTGAACTTCTAATAAATCCCGTTTAAGTTCAATTTCAGCAGCACTTAAAAGAACTATATCGCGATAGCTAGTGCGTTGACTAATTAATCTCCTTTCTAAGTATCGACCAAGAAAAATACGAGACTTCAATAAATCTTTCACATAATTCTTCACTATTATTGTATCCGTATCTCCATAACTTTCCATAACGGAAGAAGAAGCTGATGCGTCGAACGAAGAACTCTGCCGTGCGGTCAGCATTTTATGGCTATTACAATAATTAAAAATAAGAACAAAAAAATAACGCGTATAAATGCAATACAATGGAATCAAAATGCCTAATACTAGAGATTAGGCATGGACCGATATATCAAAACGTAACTAATAACGTTATGTTATCAAATATCATATCATATCGATAAACCTAAGTACAAAACCGTTATCACATATCCAACCAAACCATATACCTAACCAACGTACGAAAACGAAACCGAAACGCATAACGCAAACTGTGGAACGATATCCCAAAACTGAAAACGGCCTACTAACGGATGACCTTCGTTGATATTCATCGCTTCTCGTTCTTGCAACGATAGTTTAAATAAGTATAGAAAGAGATGAAGCGAATATGGACATCGTTGCGACGTTTTGGTAGTTATGACACAACGGTGCACATTGCGAAATATAATATATAGCTAAAGCAATAAGGTCGAATTTTAAATAGTTAAAATTGCCTAAATTTTAAGTTTGTGTAGTTGTGAGGGTTATCAAATTTCAAATGATCTTTAGCTCATTAGGCACAAGGCTTAGATTTGTAAAACGTAAAACGCAAACACCGGAACGATATGCCAACACGGCCCACTAAGTAAAGCGATACGATGTCCTTCATTGATATTCACTGTTTCTTGTTCTTGCGACGGTATCATAAATTCGCATAGAAAGAGAGGATTTCTGTTTTGGTAATTTTAGTTTCATACGGTACGCAATGCACATCTGGATATAATTACCTAAAGTAAAAAGGTTGAATTTCAAATGGTTAAAATTGTCTAATTTTTAAGTTTGTATAGTTGTGAGAGTTGTCAAATTTAAATGATTTTTAGGACAATAGACACAAGACTTGCATTTGTATGATCATATTATATTTGGTTTAGGCAACTTTATGTTTATGTTTTTTTATATTTTGTATGGAAAGTTTAGAATTTGCTTTTTTCTAGATCGCAACAATTAAGCACTTGGTCTTGGTGACGCGTGTTCGTGCCATTCGCTAAGATACCTAATAACATCCATGGAGTTATTAATTTTTGACGTTGCGTTTGTGCATTTTTTGCAATATTTGTGTGTATTTTGCTATTTTGTGCATTAGGTAGTTGTAATTCAGACAATTATGTGTAAAAGTGTAAATATAATTGATTTAGACTTTAAATCATTTTTGAATATAGACTTTCAAAATGTTGCGTAAGGTTAGTGATATATCTGGTCTCACTTCGATAAAAAAGACAATTCCGACCACTTCTTCTATCGAAGCCAAATCAGCGGCTAGTGCAAATCAGGTAAACCTGCGGTTAATAGAGTTGAATTTTCAAATTGAATTGAGAATTTGAATTTAAAACTTTTCTGCTAGTTCTAAGCCTAGTTAAGCATGAAGGAAAATCGCCAACTTAAATAATTGTTAATAAATATACTAACTAAAATAATTTTCTATAAATGTTTATAAATTATGTTTACTTCTTAAGAATACACTTTAGTTATAGACTTTGAAATCAGACTCTGATCCTACGTCTCAATTTGAAAAAAAATGGGTAACAAAATTATAGAAATAAATAAGGATAGAATGAACGTAATTTTATTCACTACCAGATTATCATCCCGTGGGTGTCGTAAAAGGCGACATAAGGAAACAAATCAGAGATCATAAAATAAATACGTGTATCTTGGTAACTGTCTTAGATAAAATTAATATAAGATTAGTATTCGATCAAAAGACCGTTGTAATCTTGTAATTATAATACTATATACTTTATGGTATGTAATGCCCTGCGTTTGCAACTTGCATGATCAACCGATGCCCAAGACGTACGTAGTATTTACACCCACCACTTTTCATCATACAAAAAGGTTGCGGATCAGCATTTCAATCAAAGCCCTCCCGTAAAAAGTTTCACTTCAAAAAACTGTGGTTGCCAACCCGCTTGCCAAGCGTGGCAACTATGGCAAATATCCCACCTATGATACAATTTATAAGGAGGCCTATGTGTTTAGCAGTGTACTTTAATAAGCTGTAACAGTGACAGTATAATTTATTATTGCATAACAAAAATTATATATTAACATACATGTTTAAATATTACATCTAAGATAACAATTACATTAGAACCTCTGACTTCTAATCTAGAATAATCTATGTAATTCATAAAATACATGTTGCACTGGTAGTACAGTTTGCAGTTATGGTTCGGTTGTCGTTTGCACATTCAGTAGCAAACCATTACTATTGATATCGATATCTGAAAACAGTTTTCAATAAAGATATGAAAACTAGATATCGGTTATGTAACCGTTGCAGATAAAAACTGAAAACGCCCATGCTTACTAGAGATGCTGAATGCGGTAGGCCCAAACGTCAGTTTCTCTATCTCACTCTATCTACTATCTAGTCTGTGGGTACGCCATAGACCCATAGATAAATAGATACGACAGCACCACTGACCTCTATATATACAAGTACGCTGGACTGGCTATACACCGTGTCATGTTGAAGCGATTTGATTTCCACCATTTTGACGCTGACAGCAGAAGTGCACGTCCACGGAACTAATAATAGGGATAAGACAATGTACCAAATTATATCGATAAAAATTCTATACCCTACCTATACTTTAATAAATAGAATGGACTCTATGGATAGATGGACTCTACCCGTAATTACCATTCTTTTTATGTATCATATTAATATAATGCCATTATCATTCATCATCTTTAAAACCCTTCACAAGTACACTGCTGAACATAGGCCACCCTCAAGGAATGCCACAAAGCACGGTCCTGAGCTACCTGCATCCATCAAATTCCTGCATGTCTTACGAGTTTTTGACTCCATATAGTGGGGGAACGTCTTACACTTCACCTGCCGGTACGAGGCTGCCACTTGAGAACCTTTTTATCCCATCGGTATTCGGTTCTTCGAGCTATATGGCCGGTCAATTGCCACTTCAGCTTACAAATCCATTGGGCGATGTCGGTCACTCTGGTTCTGCTGCAGATATCCTCTTTTCTAAGTTTGAACCCTTGAGCATAGCTCGCTGAGCGACTTCAAGCTTCCTCATACAGGCAAGCAGTGAAAGACCTCGTCTCAGATCCGTAGGTCATCACTGGCAACACGCACTGGTTGTACAATCTAGTTTTGAGGTATTCCTGACGAGAAGATGTGTTGTAATCTCCCGAACGCTGCCCAGCCGAGTTGAATCCGTCGATTGACCTGTCGGTCGAAGTTGAACTTACCTAGTCGGACTATTTGTCCCAAGTAAAAATACTCGTCAATAACTTCAGTTAAGTGATCCCAAAAACCACCGGCATAGATGTGACATGGACATTACACTTGACTTTTGTTTTATCTTAAGACCTATCCGTTGGGAGACACGATTGAGGTTGTTGAACATAGTGCGTAGGTCCTCCAGCGATTCTGCCTTAAGGACTGTACTGTCAGCAAATCGAAGGTGAGTGACGTACGCCATTGACGTTAATATCGTATCCTTTCCAGTCCAGTAGCTTGAAAATGTCTTCCAATCCAGTGGTAAAGTATTTCGGGGATATTACGACACCCTGTCTTACACATCTCTACAGTTGGATTAGTTTTGTACTCCGGTTCTGTATTCGGATAGCCATCGTAGCCCTTAGGCCATTCAACTAAAAATTATTAAGATTAAACTACACAAAATAAAAATAAAAACATAATTTCTAAAATAATTTATTGTCAACTGTTCATTTAGTTCTAGTATTATAAAAAACAAATCAGCTGCTATAATAACGCCTATTCTAATCAACTACGGGTCTGTCTATGGACAGTAAAATATTTTCTACTATATAAAAATTTATGTTTGTTCGTTCTTTCTACAATGTCATACCGTTCATCAGATTGTGGTCAAACTTAGTCAACTTATTGGTTGCACTTGTGCAAAAGATACACGCATGGTACAATTAACTGACACTAGGTGGCGTGCGTATTATACCGACTATTTATTTGAAAGTTATAGAAAGTTATATATCATTCTAATTCAATGATTTTATTATCATTCATATTATATTGTATAAATATAACTGTTCCACATTTTTAACGATATTTCCACAATTATTTCTTCTGCGGCAGCAATGCGCCGGGTACGAGCTAGCAAGATAATATAAAAGAATATAAATTTTGAATTACATAGTTATCAGTTATTTACAAAGTCATTTTCGAAATTGAAATCACAATATTAAAAAAAAAACTGAAATTATCATAAAGTCCTACTTTCTGTGGTATCGTCCCAAGAATGCTGGCTACGTGTCCTCACTGAATGGCTATACTTAGTCTTCAAGCGAGGAAACAACAAACTAAACAACTTCTTATTACCAGCAGCGATGATCAGTCGCAGATACAGTTTTTAGGAACTACACCGCAGGTGCACCCTACGGACCAATAGTCTCTACAGCAAATTGCACAAATATGTACTTATCTTCCAGATACTCGGGGCTATTTACTTAGTTCAGTTGCCTCTAATGCCACCCCCGCTTTAGACGAAGTACCCCTGAGATGGGATGCTGTCAAAGCGTTCGCAAGTAGCATCCCACACTAAAGCTTTATCTCTCTTTCTCTCTCTCTCTCTCAAGCAACCAAACCCATACCGTCGGGTCTCCTGGTATCGTCTCTAAATATTCTACAAAGATCTTAAACCGAGGAAACATAAATAGAGATACTAGTTGCATTACGGACTCCCCGAGCCCGATATGTGAATGGAGCCAGGGCAAAACGAGCACTTGGAAGCATCAAGTGGTGCAGCCTCATCAAAGTCGCAAAAGATAGTCGAGTGGTGCATCGGCCTTACGATTCTACCTCGACTACAGCTGTCCAGTTAGAGAAATATCCTTTAGCCGCAGCACACTAACACACATCCAACGTGGCTCGACATCATCAGGCGATCTTTCGACACTTGGCTATGGCCCTTGAGTTTAGTGGAAAATGAGGAAAGAAGAAATAAAAAAACATTCGAAATAATAATCTTTTTCAAAGTGATGCAGTTCTCATGTCTAATAAAACAGTCGTCTGTAAAATGTTTGGAACAAATATGATCATTTTGTTTCGGACGCCAATTCACAATATTTATGCTTTTAAGCCATAATTTTAGTCTAAGTTCAGTTGGAAACCTGTTAATTAATAAATATTTGATAATCATACGTTGTTGGCGATTTTTTTCTTAACACATATGGGTAGGAAAGAACATCGATAAGTATTATAGACAAGGAACTCGACAACCCTATTGAATTTTATTGTTTATCAAAACTTAGTAATATACACCCAAACATGTTGGTATATATGATATTAAGATTAGTAACAAATTTTTAAGTACTTATATTATCAAATAGTTTTAATTTGTTTAATATTTGCTGCAAATTCACTTACTTGTGAAATGTTATACCACTTCCCTTTTGGTAACGAGTTTTACAGATTACGCACACTCTCATATTAATAAAAATAATTATTATTATGTAACTAATATTATACACAATCAAACAACAAAATACTTTCGGTTTTTAGTTTAAAAGTTTAAAATACAGACTAATGAAATAAGACAATATAAATAAGACAACTGTTGGCGACGCGCCTATAATAATATTTCAGTTTATTAAGTCAACCGATGACGAATAGCTTCTAAAAGGCAAATTGTCCAATAGCAATGTTCTAATAAGAAAATGCTTAGTTAAATCTTAAAGAATGTCGAATTAATGATATGAAGGTCTTGGGTTCGACTCCCAGGCGTGACTAGTTTATTGTTTTCTTAAGTAATATCTCTTAATAAATCCATATAGGGAATTTTAAGATATAAATTATGCTACCGGATTTGTTCCCCGGTTGAAATCATCTTTCCAATGATGTAAATTCAAAGGAATATTAAAGTGAAGTTAGAGATCGGATTTGTTCCCCGGTCGAGATGATCACTCTGTGCATAAATAGAATTAACGGAAATTAATTGCATAAGTATTGCCTTATATGAGTTTGATATGTTTTGTATGAAAATAAATGCCTATTTGCTATGATTGATTTATGAGAACATTCACTTATATTGTTATCTGATAAGAGATATGATAACTGATAAGAATCTGATTAGAAATAGTTTCCTACAGTTTGAAAATTGTGTAGAAGCATTTATTCACCTAATACTGTCGATATTGGTGTATATTAGACTTTTCATTTTTTTCTGATAGTCGAGAGCCGTGCAAAGTTAGTTTAAATTAGTAGTGTAGTTGAAATAGTGTGAGTTCACGGACGCACGCTAGCCACGCCCTTAGGAGGCCAAATATGTAAAAATTTAAATATTTGTAATTTCAGCAATTTATGTAAAAATGACTTGTAAAACATTTCAGGTTGATTGTACGTGCTAAAAAGGTGAATTCCGTGTTATTTTTATGTGAAAATTCCTGTGTATAAGTGAAATAATGATAATTTTGTATAAGAAATTTAAAAGTGTTTTAATAGTGAAATGAATAGAGAAAATGTAAATTAAACTGTTGTATTGGTTAACTTATGTATAATTTCAAGTGGAAAACATTGTTTTAACTTTCTATGTTAAATATTTAAGAAATTTCGACTTTGAACTTGTGAGTAAAAAAAAAAAAAACCCCCCCCCCCCCCCCCCCCCCCCCCCCACCCCCCCAAAAAACCCCCCCACCCCCCCACAAGCAAAAAAAATAGGCATATTTTGTTAAATAAATAAAAGGTTTTTTGTGATATGAAAATGTAATGTATATCGTAGTGTAGATATATGTTTTGTGCTATCTGTACTGGTAAATTATGTTGATGTATGACTTATGCAAATAAAGTAATTAAATAAAACGTGAGAGAGTAATAGAATAAAATCATGTAATTGAGTTGCGCAAGCGCGCGAATGGCGCGGCTCATTTTCGCGTATTGCTCTGGGGTAGCTCAGTAAATGAGTTTTATTGCAATTCGTTCGGGAATCCTTCGGGAAGTTTCGGGAAAGTTCGGAGAAACTTCGGGATAAGTGCAAGACCAGCAGTCAATAAGAAGAAGAAAGAAAAAGTGTAGGGAAGTGATAGGGAAAAGTAATTACTCTCTCACGGAACGGTTTGAAGATAATTGCTGTTTTATTCCCAAGAAATTCATCCCTCAAAATTATACAGTCCACATCGAAGAATTAAGGCGCTGGGACCGAGACGACTTCGGAAGACCCGTAATCCCCGCCTGAACCTATTTTCTGAAAAGGAAGAGGTTATCGCCCTTGTGTGTTACTCCGTTGCGGAGATCACATACGTTGTTCCCGAACCCAACGTAGGCGTTATAGGAGGCCGGATCGAGAGAAGCCTCGATTCCCCCTTCTGTTTCTTAGTTGAACGTTTACAAACCCATTTGGTTCCTTTTCAACAACAGACTTTGGCATATTACGTCAATTTTATTTTTCAAGACATCCTTTAGCGGCGCTTCAAATTGGCACAGTCATTTTGTATGGTATAGCCAGTCCAGCGTATAAGTATATATAGAGCGTTGTACGTGTACTTGTATATATAGAGGTCAGTGGACAGCACAGAATATGAAGGTTAGAGAACAGGAGAACAATCGCCGTAGAAAATAGTGTCCCAGAAATATGGACACCATAAGTGAGGCGCTGCGATCACTAAGTTTGGTCAATAAAAGTCATTTTCAGTCTATTTTTCCGATCAGATGCTAAACCAATTGCACATCCACGCACAATAAAGTATTTCTCCATTTTTTAATTTTTCTTTTTGTCAAAAATTACAAAATTACAATTATAAAATCTTTTTATATTCATTAATGTTTGTTCTTTGATAAAATATGTTTGTTCTATCAAAAATATATCTATTTTTGGTGTAATTAGCAATTTTATTTAGCTACATAATTATACAGACGTAGTCAACGTAGGGTTAAAATGTGTAAGTTGAAAGAACTTCTTTTGGTCAAAGATGTTGACGAGTATGCTTACCTGGGACAAATAGTCTGACTAGGTAAGTCCAACTTCGACCGAGAGGTCAATCGACGGATCCAACTCGGCTGGGCAGCGTTCGGGAAATTACGACACATCATCTCGTCAGCTATACCTAAAAATCTAAAAACAAGACTGTACAACCAGTACGTGTTGCCAGTGATGACCTATGGAAGTGAGACGTGCTCCTTCACTGCTGGCTGTATGAGGACGCTCAAAGTCGCTCAGCAAGCTACGGAGAGGGCTGTGCTCGGGGTTTCTCTGCGTGATAAACTCAGAAATGAGGATATCCGCGGTCAAACCAGAGTACCCGACATAGTCCAACGGATTAGTAAGCTGAAGTTGCAATGGGCCGGCCATATAGCTCGAAGAACCGATAACCGATGGGGAAAAAAGGTTCTCGAGTGGCAGCCTCGTAATGGAAGGCGTAGTGTAAGGCCCCCCACTAGATGGAATGATGACCTGGTAAGACATGCAGGAAGTCGATGGATGCAGGTGGCTCAGGACCGTGCTTTGTGGCATACCTTAGGAGAGGCCTATGTTCAGCAGTGGACTTATATCTGGAGTAGCAGCTTATGTTACGGGTCATTATTTCACCTATTGCCGAAGATTTGCAGGTTATTGGAACTTGAAGACGTAGAAATCGGTCAGCAAATTGATTTTCACCTCCAAGTTCTCGAAAAAGTTGCTGATTGATCCCGTAACCTTAAAGGAGAGTTTGTTCGTGGAATTAGGTTGGCTGTGCAAAATATAAAAGCTGCAGCAGAAGAACTTGCGCGAAGGACCAATCCAAACGAAAACGTCACCAGACTAGAGAGAGAGAACGCAGAGTTGCGTTCCCAACATGTCAGTCTTTCGGCTAAGGCTGACAATCTCACGGAAGAAATAAAACTCCTCCGCAAGCAGATGCAGGAGCAGTCTATTAATACTCAGGTAGCCTTGCCTTGCCTACACAGCTGGCAGATGATGCATCCAAGGCTAGGAGCGGGAGTGAGCAACTCATGGCAGAAATAGGTGCTGTCATTGACAGGAAACTGGCTACCTTCCAGGCCAAATTGTTTCCCGGAAGAGCCCAAGCAAACCAGCCACTGACAAGACGGTAACAGCTGCCACCGCCATTGGAAGCAAGATGTCCGCAGTTGCAGCCACTGCCATCACTACCACAACCGCGAAAGAAGAAAAAACGACGAGTAAGGAAGAAAAAGGAGTCTTCTCATCCGCCGGTGGTCGATCTGCCTCCATTGGCTACACCGCCGCAGCCGCGCAACTCACCTCCGCAGCCGCGCAACTCACCGCCGCCGATGACAAGGTCATGGGCAGATGTGACAAGAAGGCCACTGCAAAAGCGGCCTAAAACAATGGCGGATTCTTTCCCTCCTCCAAAAGGGAGTAAAAAAAAAGACGACAAAATGCAATGCGTACCCCAGCATCAGCGGCAGTACCGGTGACACTGCCTGAGGACTTGGCACTTACATAAGCCAATGTAATGGGGGAAGCAAAGGCCAAGATCCGATTGGCAGAGTTGGGAATCGACTCCGTTCGCCAAAAGCGAGCTGTAACAGGGGGTTTACTACTCGAGACTATGGGCCTTGAATGTAACTCTAAGGCGGACAAGCTCGCAGCGAAATTGCGCGAACTCGTCTCAGATCTGAAAGTGCGAATTAGTCGCCCAATTAAAAGTGTCCTAATAAGATAGCGCGGCAACGAGAAGTAAGTGCCCTAACGAGCGAACGGCGAACCAGGTCATAGAGCAAACCAGTTTACTACGTCGGCACTGATATGTCCCATTTGCTCTGACCTCGGGCACACCTCCAACCATAGGTTGGGGAAAAAATGCGCTCAACCCGCAAAAAGGGGTGTTAGGAAGAGTAAGCCCTCTCCCACCACCTCCAACGGGACGGTTGCAGCAGGACCTGTTGCGGCACCGAGCTCTGACTCGGTGATGAAAGTTGCTGAGATCTAAAATTCACGCCCCTAAAAGTCCTCCAGGGTAACCTAAACCACTGTTGCAAGGCGCAACATCTGCTTGTGCAGACTATTGTGGAGTGGCGGGTTGCCCTTGCAGTAGTAACAGAGCCCCATACCGTCCCTAACCATCCTCGCTGATTCGGTGACGAATCGGGCTCCGTAGCCATCTACTGGGGGGGTGATGGTGCTCCAACCTGCGTCCTCCTGCAAAGGGGGCAGGGCTTTGTTGCAGTGCAGTGGAGCACCCTGGCCATAGTGGGCTGCTATGTCTCTCCCAACAGGACCCCCGCCGACTACGAGGAGTACCTGGACGAGGTGGCGGATTGCGTGCGCGGGTGCTTACCACGTTCGTTGATCGTCCTAGGAGACTTTAACGCGCATACCTGCCTGGGGAAACTCCAGGAACGATCCGAAAGGAGAGATTGGAATGAAATGGGCGGCTGGTCTGGACCTCCGACTATTAAATCGGGGGTCTTAGAGTACATGTGTGCGATGGCAGGGGGAGTCCATTGGGGACTTCACGTGGGCAACTCCTCCTGCAATGCGAGTGCTGTCGGGCTGGCGAGTTGCGACGGAGTTGGTTACATTGTCGGACCACTGGCACATCGTGTTCGATGTCGCACTTCGCCACTTCAACAGTAATTCCTGTCGTCGAGAAAGCAGCCCACCGCGGCGTTGGTGCCTCAAGCGGCACAATCAAGACAAGTTTGAAGCCGCGGCCATCGTCCCGGCCTGGCCGGAAAAAGCCGAAAAGGTTCAGATCGATCCGGAAGAGGAAGCGAACTCGTTTCAGGCTACGATGGCGCAAATATGCGACATATCGATGCCCAGAACCAGTCGTCCCAAGTGCAGGGCGGAGTACTGGTGGTCGGTCAAAATCGCAAACCTTCGCGCGATCTGCTTGCGGAGTCGACGCCAGTACACTAGAGCCTGAAGGAGAAGGCGAGCTCTACCAGAGGAGATAGCCAGACTCTACGGGGCATACCGAGCGGCTACAAAGGCATTACAAATTGCTATATCTAACACCAGGTCTCGGTCCTGGAAAGAGCTCTTAGAGGGACTCAACAAAGATCCTTGGGGGCGACCGTACAAGATGGTGCTTGGAAAACTCCGGCCCTGGACGAACTCTCCATCCTGACCTGCTAGGAAGAGTGATCAGCACACTTTTCCCAGAGGACCGGTCAAGTTCCTCAGGTCACCTGCCATCGTCATGGGAGTGGAATGATGAGATGGGGGTGACCGTGGAGGAGCTAGACCGAGCCGTGAGCCGCTTGCGAGCCCGAAACACCACACCGGGGCCTGACGGAATTCCCAGTCAGGTTCTAGTGCTGAGTCTGGGTGCCTTGGGTACAGGCTCAGAGAGCTGTTCACCGGCCACCTGAAGAGTGCCAAGTTCCCCACAGTTTGGAAAGAGGCAAGGTTGGTCCTCTTGAAGAAGGAAGGCAGGGCTGCTGTCCCATATGCCTGTTGGACGAGATTGGCAAATTGTTCAAAAGGATAGTTGTCACTCGGCTCAACAGACATCTGTCGCGCGTCGGTCCCGATTTGACTGACAGCCAATTTGGATTCCAACGGGAGCGTTCCACCGTAGATTCCATTATGAGCGTCCGTTCCTTGTCGGAACAAGCAGTAGCCCAGGGTAGGGTGGCTTTGGCGATAAGTCTCGATATCGTCAACGTCTTTAACTCTCTACCCTGGGATGCAATCAGGAGGGCACTAGCACATCACCAGGTGCCTGCCTACCTGCAAGGCATAATCGGGGACTACTTGCGCGAAAGGTACATTCTGTACATGGGGCAAGATGGTAGCATGATTCGGAGGGAGATTAAACGTGGGGTTCCGCAAGGCTCGGTGCTGGGTCCGCTATTGTGGAACCTCGCGTACGATGCGTTTATGCGTGTTGATATTCCTGCTGGCGTAAATATCGTGTGCTATGCCGATGACACACTGGTGGTCGCCAGCAGGGTCACATTGGAGGCGACCAAGGAGCTCTCCGAGCTTGGGACGAAAGTCTTTGTTGCTAAAATCCACGAGTTGGGTCTAGAAATAGCGCCTCATAAGACCGAGGCCTTATGGTTTCACAAATTATCTCGGAGCAGGGAACCACCCGACTCGTGCGTTCGCGTGGGTGGGTCTGAAATCAGAGTGGCGCGGTACATGAAGTACCTAGGGCACTACCTGGACAGTAGCTGGGGCTTCGAACAGCACTTTAAGCGCCTAGTCCCCCGAATTGAAAGGGTGGCGGGTGCTATGCACAGACTGCTGCCCAATCTAGGGGGGACCGAGCGTGGAGAGTCCGTAGCCTTATATGGGGCGCCTGTATGGCCGAAAAGGCTAGCCATCCGACGCTGCAGAACTAAAATCTACAGTGTCCAGCGGAGGATGGCTATACGGTTCGTGCGAGGATACCCCACTATATCCTTTGAGGCGGCAGGGAGGGAGGGCCCTCCCCTGAAGATGGTGATCCCCTACCAGAAACGGGGCCTCTGGGGTTGTAATCATTTGGGGCGGGAGCCCCGAATGCCTAGTAATGTAACCCCTGAGGAGGACGATGGCTCGGAAGTGGTCCCGAAACATCGTGATAGCACTGCGAGGGTGCTGGGGGTAGTAAGTACAGCCCCCGGGACGTGCTTTCAATAAAGCAAAGCGAGAGAGGGGCCCCGGTTGCGTTCCGAACGGAGATCCCGGGACCCCTCTTACACGCTGATGGAGACCACCGTGGGGTTTTAGCCGGTAGGAGTCCGGCATAACCTTTTGGGTACCCCCGCAGCCAAAGGTGTCCATGAGGATTTCCCCACGAAAACAAGAAAAAAAAAAGGTGCAAACTAGTCTCGTTAAATACTTAGTCCCTGGATCTGTTCTAGTATATACGCTTCATCTCTACTTTGATGACATGACATCGCACATGCGGCCAATCCGCCAAAGGTATATGACGTCGATATAGACGTCATACCTTTATATGACGTCTGTATCGACGTCATATACCTTTGGCTTGGCCGCATGTGCGACGTTGAGGCGTAACCGCCGGAGGCGGCGTTGCCATCCGAAGGCAGCATTACTGGCAAGCAGTGATCGTAACAAACTACTTAAATGTCTATTAAAGAATGTCTATAAATTCGTAAACAAATTAATAAACTAATCAAATAGTTAATCAAATTGCTTTATGCAAAAAGGAGTATATGATACTTCCACTTTCTGCCGGACGTGCTTAGTTTTTATTTTTAAAAATCTCATTTTGAGGTTATGTTTCGTAATTGTTATGACAATTTTAACCTGATTTATGGGGAGAGAGAGTTGGGGGACGGTAGCCCCACGCCACTAAACGTGGTGCAGTTGAGGGAAGTCGGGTCGACGGAGCCCCGCTTCGTGGGGCTCCTACTTCTGAGTGGTTTACAAAAAATAACGTCGGGGTGCCCCACGTCCTAAGCTCGCTTCGCTCGCTATTGCACCCAATATAACACCAAAACTTTAACTTTTATAACTACTTTAATTTATAAACATAATTTATGGCTGCCACCATTTGTAAGAAAGGGTCATTGCGATATTTAGCAATATTCTGCCGCCACAAATATTCCACTATTCACCAAAATTATGAAACTCTGAAGCAACGGCATTACGAAAAACTGTCAACAAAATGGCCGGCCTAGCGATTAATTTTACACATTTTTAAATCGATTCAAATCGAAATGAATCGGATCAATTCACAAAAAATCGAAATCGTAAAGATCGATTTCGCAAAAATCGATCTTTTTTTGATTTTCGTTATCAAAAGATACAATAAAGTACAGATAACATTGAACGATTGAATTAAAAACTGTCATTCTTTACGAGTTACTAATTGTAAATAATTTTACAAATCTTAATAAAACAGAAAAAGTTTCAATCTCGATTATCTAGGGTGAAATGATCGATTCAGTACTATATATCGATATGACATTGACAGATAAAACGTCAAAAACGTAATTAATTAGTCATTGGGTGCGTTTGGCAGAAAAAAGCGCTAGCAAGCGCTTACAAGCGCTGAAATAGTTTTCGGCCAGGACACGATTGTTACTTCAGTAGCGCTGACACAATCCGCCATTTTGCTTATTTAATTTGTTTTGAAGTAGAGTTTATAAGTTGTTTTGTGCAATATTAGTTTTAAGTAATATATTGACATGAATAAACATATACATGTTATTAAAAATTCACTATTGGTAAGTTTTTAATATAAATACTTTACAAACATATATTTAAATTAAGTTAGGTTCCCCGGTTAAAACTAACATCGTGTCCTGGAAGAAAATAGCTACTTACGATTTGACAGCACTTACCGCTTACGATCACCATTTTGCTTACAAGCGCTTGCTAGCGCTTTTTTCTGCCATACGCACCCATTTACATTGA